AAGTTTAGGATTGTCAAAGTGGATATTTACTGTTGAGATCAAGTGATGTAAGTTAGTGTCCTTTGTTATCTACCGGTTGTTTTGAAGCATATATAAAGGAAGGGTTATATATATATATAAAGGAAAATTATATAAAGATTATAATTTATTATATGAATTAATTTAACATATTAATAATAAATATATCGAACCATAATCTAGGGAGATACATGGCCCCTTTTTTAACGGAAATATAACTATTATTTGTTAAATATTTTAAAATATTTACCTTTTATTCCTAAACTTTGCTTACAGATATTAAAACATAAGAAAAGTGTTTATTCATTTAAATATAGTAAATAACAGATTGCAACATCTATCACAGAGATGAAATTTAAATTTTTATTATTGTATTATTCTAAAATAGATAGCTATTAATGTCAACAAGTGAGCACAAATAGTTATTAATTAAAAAAATTAGTAATTAATGTATAATATTATCCATAACTCCATGTACAAGAATGTCGTTTTTGATAAAAGTTAAAAAAAATAACCATAAATACGTAAAAAAATGCGTATATTGTCAAAAATTTCTTTTTCCATAATATAGTCATTTGTGCTATGTTATAATGCTTATTACCTAAACAATAATAATACTGAATAATTTTTTTAAAACATTAAAGTATATTTAATCACATTTCCCGAAAAGCTGTCACGATCTGTAAAATACTAAAAATAGAAAAAACAACTCTAAAACTATCAGAAAATGGGATCAAGTGATATAATTTAGCGTCACTTTTAATCTACTGGATATTTTGATTGCAAAAGTTGAATATGAACCGCGAAGGATATATAAAAGGAAGGCTTATATATATATATATATATATATATATATATATATATATATATATATATATATATATATATATATATGTAAAATTATATAAAGATTATAATTTATTTTATAGATTAATTTATATTTTAATAATAAATAATAATATAAATATAAAATAAAATATTAATATATTAATATAAATTAATTAGTACATTAATAGATTCAAAATTGTGAAAAGGGGTGATCTTCGACTATCACTGGTATCGATGGAGCCGACTTTTAAAAAGAAACCTGCCGAGCAGCATCAACCACAGGTATGTCTTTGAATAAATTTGCACATTTTAAAAATGTATTTATTACTGATATATTTTAAATTGGTTTATTTTACTAGTGTACATAAGTTCCATAGAATCTAATTGTTAAATAAAAGTTTATTTTTATTCGATTAGTTTTATTTTAAAATAAAGCATATACATTTACTATTTTTTTTTATAATAGAATTACTAAACTTATCTATAAGTAAAAAATAAAATAAGCTTTTTGTTTTCCAGAGAATTGCTATGGAAGTCCACCAATAAATGTTAAGAATAAAAGTGATCCATGGATAAAAAATATTTGAGAACCACTGACTGAACGGAAAGTAAATTACAACTTGGGTCCTGTCCTACGGAGAATCCACAGGATAGACGCGATGGTAAATACAGTTATATGTGCAAAATCCTCGTTTGTACTAATATGTAAATAAAGTTTTTTTGTAGCATTTATTCCCGTTGATAATTTCCTGTTGCCGCCACGTCAACCATTATAAAAATATAACAGCTATGTTCAAGTTTTGGTCTGATCTGAAACTTCCAAAGACAGAGAAAGTCAGTAGTCATATAATTTCTGGCGCAGAACATTTCCCCAGCATCTTTAGCGATGAATCGTATACACGAGTTCCTCTTGAGGTCTGGGATGAACTTGAATCCTCATAGACGTTCAAGACAAGGAGTCTCATTGAAAGAATAAACATTCACTATGATAGCATCTTTAACGATGAGTTGTATATATAAGCTCCACTTGAGGTCTGGGATGAGCTTGAATCCTAAAAGACATTCACCAAGATAGAATCTTTAACTACGGATCGTATATATGAGTTCCACTTGAGGTCTGGGATGAACTTGAATCCTCATAGACGTTCAAAACAAGGAGTCTCTTTGAAAGAATAAACGTTCACCATGATAGCATCTTTAACGATTGATCATATATATGAGTTCCTCTTGATGTCTGGGATGAACTTGAATCCTCATAGACGTTCAATACAAGGAGTCTCATTGAAAGAACAAACATTCACCATGATAGCATTTTAACGATGGATCATATATATGAGTTCCACTTGAGGTCTGGGATGAACTTGAATCCTCATAGACGTTCAAGACAAGGAGTCTCTTTGAAAGAATAAACGTTTACCATGATAGCATCTTTAACGATTGATCATATATATGAGTTCCTCTTGATGTCTGGGATGAACTTGAATCCTCATAGACGTTCAAAACAAGGAGTCGCTTTGAATGAACAAACATTCACCATCATAGCATCTTTAACGATGGATCATATATATGAGTTCCTCTTAAGGTCTGGGAATCAATAGACGTTCAAGCTAATATAATTGCATTTAGGGTGCAATGGTATTCTCAGTGATGATATAACGTTACTGGTTTGGTTTCGGAGGTATTGAAAGTTACAAGCCAGTCTGTAGAAGTAGGTCGAGGGTAGAGATAATCTTTTAGACAGATACTGATGGTATTGGAGTCGAGGTTAAACCTCCCCGCCAATTACCCTAATTTGTTTTCCCTTATTACAGGTAGCAGTCCATCAAGATGATAGCAAAACTGGTATAAAGCATTGAGCTACTCCATACAGACCTAATGACGCATATTAATATTTATCAGACAAAGCAATCGATGAGACTTTGGTTATAACCTTGGTGCTGTGTTTCCACAACTTGCGGCAGCACCTCCCCATTTCATTAAAGACGGGGCATTCGTGGATGCCAGCAACTAATATACCAGAAGACCTGATAGTTTTTATACTATAATTCACCGAGCATAAGCCTTGAGAGCGACTCAATGTAGAGTATTGCTATTAAAATTTAAATGATGAATGAGCTGGTTGACGTGAATGAAAGATGAAGTGAATATAAATATGAGGACGATTGATAACGGTTGACGCTTTACTTGAAGAGGCTTAGGTTACCATGTTCAGGGAAGCAACAACGCGGGAGAGTGTTCCACACATTGACAGTTCTTGGTTTATAAGCTCATTGAGCGCAAAACTTTGGAAGACAGGGAAAATTAAGGGCGTTTATATGCGTTAAAGTGATATGGCTTGTCATAGCTGTAATGGTCTGAACTAGTGAAACTAATGAATGGAGCGCTCATCAGAACGTTTGCTATCGAAATAACGATAGGTATGCAACATGGCGTCTTTCAGAAAAGGAGTTGTAGACTGCAAAATAATTCATCAATCACAATCGCGCGGCAATGCTTATCGATAATGGAAAGTGAAAAAGGGGCAGCTCCTATATGTCAGAAGATGTCGGCCTGATCTATCTCTTGTATGTTGACCATGTTCCCAATAATCTATGAATATAGAATACGGCGCAGTACGTAATCTGTTCAATGAAACAACGTTAAAGATTAATACACTCGAGTCAGATATTTTACTGAATCTAACTATATCGCCAATACCACCAGCAGCTGTTCCGTAATTATTCAGTCTTCGATATCAAAGGCTGTAAGTAATATTTAGCCCCCCCCCAATGAGGGTTACATGTAGCACAAGGCCGTGATTGACGTGGGATCTCCGAGCCCGTAGGCTCGGCCCAAAATATTCCCAATTCGAACGCGTATAAACGGGTTCAGTGGCAGTCAACCTCCCCGATCGAGACTCTGCCCTTCGGCGAAGCCTCGTTCGGGTTATCAAAGGCTGGCAGTGCATATTCGGGAAAAACATGGCCACCTTTATACACGTCGCATTAAGTATTTTGAGCCTTCTGATTGGTTAACCCTTCTATTGGTGAACTATAAAATGAGTCAGCTCATTTTGGCTGGCTCACTAGTACACCAGGGTACCCAAAAATTCCAACGTTGTAACGTAAAGGACAATCAGGTACTTGCTGGAAGAGTATAGGGAACCAACAGTTTTATAGCATCTTCAGCGGGGATGGTATATACGAGTTTTCTTAGGGGGTGTCTGAGTTAAGCTTAAGACACAATAGGCGTTCAAGGCAATGAAGACTCCTTGAGCGAACACCCATTCATTGCCCTAGGCAAAAATTCAGGATCCGTTCCGTGATAATGAATAACTTTTGTTTTCTAAATATTGAATGTCACCACCCAGATTTCCCATCGCCATTGTGCTGTTAGAACTGGTGGAACTAAGGAATGCAGTTTGTCTGAACACTTTCTATCGAAATAGCAATAGAATAGCGAGAGGCTTGCAACGTTTCGCCTGAAGGGAAAGGAGATGCACGGTGGAAAAGTCTTCGTTTCAAGACTTCATAGACGAATTTGAACTCTATTAATCATAAGTAAAGGTTGAGCAACTCCAGAGTAGATATGTCGTCCTTAGGTCACCTCACGATCACCCTATCGCGTTTCCTATCCTGGTCATAGTGCTTCAACAACGGTAACAGCGATGTAAGTTTTAAACAATTTTCTGAGCGGCCCTGCATAGATGTGATATGAAGTACAATATACAACGTCTGAGCCAATGGCTGTCAACATGTGGAAAAAATAATTGTTTGTAACTGAAAACTTGAGCCTCCCGCCATTTTTTACCTTCCATCTTTATGGCTGATGCTATCCTCCAAGACAATGATTCTTTGTGCCTTCCTTCTGAATTGAAAGATTATATTGAATTAATTGCTAGGTCTGCTACGAGTAAAGCTGATTCCTTATGTCATGTTAGACAATTGCGCTCGCCAGAATCTTACTCATTTATATGTCTACCATTCATCCATACTTCAAATATTACTGTCACATTTGGTCTATTGTTTCTGTTATGTATTTAGAGACTTGTAATAAAATCAACAGTGCAATATCCTCAGATGGCATCTCGTCTACAGTCACTTTCCCATAGACATAACGTGTTTAAACGCCGAAACAAAATATACAATTTTGTAGTAGTGATATGCATGTTTTACTATAAAGAATAGATAGATAGATAGATAGATAGATAGATAGATAGATAGATAGATAGATATGAAGTATATAGGAAAATATATGTGGGTCGTCACAGATATATGAAAGCCCTGGGAAAAGTATCTAAGCCTCAAAACATTCATATATCTCGGTTGAATTATAATTATAGATTTACACGTATATCCACTTCTATGAAGACGACATTATAAATGAACAAATGAACAATCACATGGTCATAAAAGTGACATAAAAAAGACATCAAGATATTATTTAAAAATGAAGACAGTTACTGGTTAAAAAAATCATAGAACATCGTTTCCCGATGATTTGAAGTAAAAAGGTTATATTGACTTAATTGCTAGTTTTGTTACTAGGCAATTTTCCTCACTCGGTCGCTAAACTCTCTCGCCCATTTATAAGTCTACCATTCATCCAAGCTTTGAATATTGCAAGGACATCTGATCTGGTAATTCTGCTGTGAATTTAGACAGAGATTCTTGATGAAATAGCAGGTCATCCCATAAGTTCTGTCCGAATTTTGAATAAAGAAAACAAGTGACCAAATATTACATTTAATTACAGATTCAATCAACAATGTATTTTCCCCTGATTATCTATGACTTCCTTCCATCTTTTAACAAGCTTACTTATTCCATTCCTGTAAAATTCTTTTGGCTTTGATTCGAAGAACTCTCAAATGTCAGTTTTAACCTCTTACTGTGTTACAAAAGCTGTTTCTTCCAAATGATTCTGTAAGCTAATGGTTGGATATAACCGTATGTTCTATACGAACAGTTTCTACTCTCGCATTTCTCACTTGTGGAACTCTCCTGATCTTCAAAAGTTTCAGAGCAGTATCAATATTTAAGTTATGTCTTCTTCCTCTTCTTTTATTGTTCTCTCTCCTTAATAGTGTTTTTCTTTTTCTCATATTCTTTCACACTCAGTAAATCCTTGCGTCTTAGTAGATTTATTGCCTTACTTGGGATGAAATGATTAAATGCAATGTCAATCGTTATCTTCTGTTTTCTTAATTCCTCTTTTATTGTTCTCTCTCCTTAATAGTGTTTTTCTTTTTCACAAATTCTTTCACACTCAGTAACTCCTTGCGTCTTAGTAGATTCATTGCCTTACTTGGGATGAAATGATTAAATGCAATGTCAATCGTTATCTTCTGTTTTCTTAATTCCTCTTTTATTGTTCTCTCTCCTCTCCGACTTTCTCTCTTATTCTCTCACTCAGTAACTCCTTGCGCCTTAGTAGATTATTCTCTTGTTTGGGGTGAAATTATTAAAAAAAAAAAAAAAAAATTGCTGTTGTACTTCGTCTGTTGATAAGTGTTTTTTTCTTTCTTTTTTTTTTTTTTTTTGTTCCATTCTAAATTGCAAACGGCAGAAAAAGCTTTTATTTCATATAAGTAGAAATATTGGTTTTCTCGATTTAGAAATATGATCAGAGTTTGATCAAAAATTAGTGTTCGATTGTTGTGGATCATCCGAAAATAAAATAAGAATCAATCGACTAAGAAACAGGCGGTCATTCTGAGGGATTGATATACAAATAAATAAATAAATCTATCGAATGTGTCTTATCTCTTCGTCGGAAACAAAAGGAAAGACATATATATATATATATATATATATATATATATATATGTGTGTGTGTGTGTGTGTGTGTGTGTGTGTGTGTGTGTGTGTGTGTGTGTGTGTGTGTGTGTGTGCATGGAAATCTGATGGGAATAAAAACAAAATGACAACAACGCCATTTTCCCCGCTTTTAATTTTAAGTAAATATAGACATTATATATATATATTTTTTTTTTTTGAATGAATGAATTGTTATAACGAGCTCTTCGGCAACTCACTAAACTTTGCTTTTTTTTGTTTTGTTTTAGTACTGCTTTCGGTAATTACATCGAGCCAAAAGCCGGACTATTTCCCCAAAGAGGAATTTTAGAAGCTGGAAATGTCTATTAATTGCTTCCGACAGAGATTCCAGACGCCTCCAACTACAAATGTCGATAATGATTAAATGCATCTGTTTTTGTTCAATTGGAAAATAATAAAAAAAAGAAAATGGAAAGAGAAAAAGAGACGAAAAGAATGAAGAGAGAGAGAGAGAGAGAGAGAGAGAAAGGAAAAAAGAAGAGAGAAAAATAGAGAAGAAAGAACGAGTGAAGAGGAAGAACAAGGATGAATATAGAAATAAAAGAAGAAACAAGAGAAAGAAAAACAATGGAAAGGGAGAAGAGAACAACATAAGTCGAAAAAAAAAGACAGGGAAAAAGAAAGAAATGAACAAAAACAGATATGAAAAAAAAAAGGGAGAGAGAGAAAAAGACAAGAAAGGCAAAATAAAAAGAAAGAAAAAACAAAAGAAAACAGAAAATCAAGGAAAATAAAAAAATAAAATAAACGAGGAAGAAGAAAGAAAAATGGTGACTGTCCCATAATATTGATTATATTTAGTGTATGAAATGTATAGACAAATGGAACAATTATTATGGGACAAAATTAGTATAACAATAAAAATAATAATAATAGACTACCTCTGTCCGATAATAGTTGGTACATTTAGTGATTGAAATATGTGGGCAAAGGGAACAGTTATTATGGGACAGAAGTAGTATTATATAAGAAATAATTGACCACACTTGTCCCATAATGGTTGATACATTCGGTGTATGAAATATGTAGACAAATGGACCAATTATTATGGGACAGAAATAGGATTATATAAATAATAATAGACTACCTCTGTCCCATAATGGTTGGTACATTCAATGTAAGAAATTTGTAGGCAAATGGAAGAATTATTATAGGACAGAAGTAGTATTATATAAATAATAATAGGCCACCTCTGTCCCATAACGGTTGCTACATTTAGTGTATGAAAAATGTAGGTAAATGGGACAATTATTATGGGACAGAAGTAGTATTATATAAATAATTATTGACCACCTCTGTCCCATAATGGTTGATACATTTAGTGTATGAAATATGTAGACAAATAGAACAATTATTATGGGACAGAAGTAGGATTATATAATTAATAATAGATTACCTCTGTCCCATAATGGTTGGTACATTCAATGTAAGAAATGTGTAGGCAAATGTCACAATTATTATGGGACAGAAGTATTATATAAATAATAATAGACTGCCTTTGTCCCATAATGGTTGCTACATTTAGTGTATGAAAAAGTAGGTAAATGGAACAATTATTATGGGACAGAAGTAGTATTATATAAATAATAATTGACTGCCTTTGTCCCATAATGATTGCTACATTTAATGTATGAAATATGTAGGTAAATGGAACAATTATTATGGGACAGAAGTAGTATTATATAAATAAATATGGTTGTATACTATAAACAATTATATACTACCTCTATTCAATAATGCCTGCTATATTTAATGATGTTATATGAATAAGCTTTACTGAGGCTAACATGGATTCATTGAATTTTGCTCGACCCGTTGCGATGGTGAAATTGTAATACTAACCATGACCAATGAACATAGTTTACTAAACAACTATAAATATAAACAATTGTTTCTTGTTTACCTTTTTTTTTATTTCGTCAATCAGTGATTGTTTTGGGGAATAAGAATTGTGTAATGGTTTTATTCTTGGTGCCTCCAATAATTCGCTAAAAAACAGCATACCATAATGGAAAAAAGTCCCCAAACTTTATAACAAAGTTTTATCGTCAAAATGTTTTTATTATTAAGAGGGAAGACCAAACTATTTTTTAATTATTTTATTAATTTTTTAATCCTTTCTCGCACATTCGAAATTTGTTTTTTTCTTGCTCCAACGGGGGAAGGATGGGGCAAAGATTAGTATAGGAAATTTTAGCGACATTTTAGAGGTAAAAAAAAAAACCTTTGATTTGGAAATCCTTGCAAAATCAAATAATTCTCAGATTTTAAGGAAATTTTCAGGGCTTGATTTGAAATTATTCTTAAATATATATATATATATATATATATATATATATATATATATATATATATATATATACATTTGGGGGAGGGAAATCTTGGTAAAAACATTTACTACAACACCTTTTACTTAATGTTATGAAATTTCGAGAAATTAAAATCCCACTCTCTTCGTATTTATGTTATTAAGGTAATATAAATATGAAGAAGTTGGTATTTCCTTGAAGAATTTAAAGCATCATTTTTTTTTTTCAAAGAGAAACATTATTTAATGAAAATCTGCTCTGAATCATCAAATAAAAATGCAAAAAAAACTAAGACATTATTTAATCAAAAGAACTTTTAATTGCTTTTATAAATAAGATATATTTAAAAAAAAAACTATGATGGTAAGAAAAGAATTTTGTTCTATTCATAATGATTTTTTACAACAGTTGTTTTCAGTTTTTTAAAAATTCTAATTAGAATAATTAATAAACTTTAAAAACCTTTTAAAATTCTGTATTAATTTCACTCTTTTAGATGATACTGTAATTAAGCAAAAACTATATTTCCGAATCATAAATAGAAACACTTAGTACAAATCATCGAACACCAATACTTTTAAAAGAATTTCGATTTTTGTATGTGTATAACCAAGCCAATTCTTTTAGATACGGAAAACCATACAACACATTATCAGAAAATAAGAGCAATAACTACAGTAAATTTAAACCAAAGTATCTACAATTCAATAAAACATTAGATTATAGATAATATACTGAGTACTTAAAGATTATATTTAAAAAAAAGGCGCTCACGTTATTTTCGTCAGTTATGTTTACAGATAAATTCCCAGTGGATTAACATTAGATCTGTCATCCGGCTGTCAACAATTAAACAACGTAAATAAACAGCTACTGCCAGGTGAAAAAATGCATTTCTGTGGTATTTTAAACTTAAACTATATAATATTCGTTTCAAATCAGATCAATTATACTTTAAATAAGCTAATATTCTTCCAATAATGTTTCCGAAAAGAATACTTTATTTCTGTAAGATTTTTTTTTAATAAAAGGAATTATATTGCAATAGACGCGGGCTAAAAATAGCGGTAAAATTAAACTTTTTAGTTAAAAAACAAAAACAAAAACAAAACATTGCCAGTCAATTTAAGTTCGTTTTTGAAGTACAGCGAAGTATTTTTTTTTTTTTTTTTTTTTTTTGCTTATTGGGGGTTTTAAATTTAATCTATTAACTTCATGCGAAAACTAAAATAAAACATTCAAGGAAGATTTTTCATTTTTTAAAATTTCTTTTAAATCCTTAAGTACCGCGTTTTCTGTGGTGGTGCTTGATTTAATCTCAGAAATTTTCGTGTAAAAGAAACAAATCAATAAATGCAAATAACATTACATGCATACAAGTGAAAATGTAAAGAATTATGATATTAATAAAATTTACTTCACTAAAATATTATTTATTTCCTTCTTAAGACAATTATTTTACAATAATTTGCAGCTGAAATGGTTAGATGTAACGATAAGTTCTACCCTAACATTTTCTTAATCTGATAAGTATGTTCATGGTAATTGTTTTGATGAGGTATCCTCATTGGTACCTAGATTCTATGAAATAAGTGCAGTACTAGATTGGCAGCTAGGTCTCATCATTTTACAGTTGAAATAGCTAGATGTAACCATAAGTTCTATACTAACAATTTCTTAATCTGATAAGTATGTTCATGGTAATTTTTTTGATGAGCTATCCTCTTAGGTACCTAGACTTTATGAATTTAAGAGCAGTACTAGATTGGCAGCTAGGTCTCATTATTTTACAGTTGAAATGGCTAGATGTAACTGTAAGTTCTATGCTAACAGTTTCTTAATCTGATAATTATGTTCATGGTAATTGTTTTGATGAGCTATCCTCTTTGGTAGCTAGACTTTATGAATTTAAGAGCAGTACTAGATTGGCAGCTAGGTCTCATTATTTTACAGTTGAAATGGCTAGATGTAACTGTAAGTTCTATGCTAACAGTTTCTTAATCTGATAATTATGTTCATGGTAATTGTTTTGATGAGCTATCCTCTTTGGTAGCTAGACTTTATGAATTTAAGTGCAGTACTAGATTGGCAGATAGGTCTCATTATTTTACAGTTGAAATGGCTAGATGTAACTGTAAGTTCTATGCTAACAGTTACTTAATCTGATAATTATGTTCATGGTAATTGTTTTGATGAGCTATCCTCTTTGGTAGCTAGACTTTATGAATTTAAGTGCAGTACTAGATTGGCAGATAGGTCTCATTATTTTACAGTTGAAATGGCTAGATGTAACTGTAAGTTCTATGCTAACAGTTACTTAATCTGATAATTATGTTCATGGTAATTGTTTTGATGAGCTATCCTCTTTGGTAGCTAGACTTTATGAATTTAAATTTTGGTACTAGATTGGCAGATAGGTCTCATTATTTTACAGTTGAAATGGCTAGATGTAACTGTAAGTTCTATGCTAACAGTTTCTTAATCTGATAATTATGTTCATGGTAATTGTTTTGATGAGCTATCCTCTTTGGTAGCTAGACTTTATGAATTTAAGTGCAGTACTAGATTGCTAGATAGGTCTCATCATTTTAGAGTTGAAATGGCTAGATGTAACCGTAAGTTCTATGCTAACAGTTTCTTTTCTCGCACTTTTCCCTTGTCAATCTCCCTTCCGTTTCCATGCTTTACAACCAACATTAATCTGCAAAGATCTAATTGCAATGTCAATCTATTGTCCTTCTCATTACTCTTCTTCTGTACTCGCTCCTTAGTAATGTTTCTGTATTTAACCAACGCTTTTATCCACTAGGTCATGCAATACCTGGCTACAATTGAGGTGAACAAAAAAAAAGTTGAGTTAAGGGGAGATAACTGATGCTGAGACATCCAGAAGAGGTATGACACGTGGAACTAGAACAATCTACCTAGGTGGGCGAAATAAAGGTTTCAGTTTAAAATTCCAATCCGCTGAAGAAGGCTGGCGCGTAATACACTCTGTTTAATAAATAAAAATGGGTCGTCTATTTCAAATACGAAGTATCTACTACAACACACACACACACACATACACACACACACACACACACACACATATATATATATATATATATATATATATATATATATATATATATATATATAGTTATAGGACTATATATATAATCATAAACTAGTAATACTTATACATATATATAAGTGTAAATACTGTCAGTTTATGACCGGCAGGGATAATTCAAAGAGGCTATTAATCCAGGTAGAACTCAATGTAGACTACAGAATATAATAATAATAATAATAATAATAATAATAATAATTATAATAATAATAATAATAATAATAATAATAATAATGACGAATAAAACCTTAAATATTCATTTTGGTTATAATTTATTTCGTGCATATATATATATATATATATATATATATATATATATATATATATATATATATATATATATATATATATATGTGTGTGTGTGTGTGTCTCTCTCTCTCTCTCTCTCTCTCTCTCTTTATATATATATATATATATATATATATATATATATATATATATGTAATACAGTTTGCGACTGGTAGGGATAATTACAAGGAGGATATTAATCCAGGAGAGCTCAATGTAGACTACAGAACATTAATAATAATAATAATAATAATAATAATAATAATAAGATGAAGAAGAAGAAGAAGAAGAAGAACGAATAAAACCTTAAATATTCATTTTGGTTATTATTTATTTCGTTAATATCTTCGATATTCACTCTTCAGACCAAATTCTCTTAGTAAATGGAGACCATACACTGGATATATTAGATTGACAGGGGCAAGGGAAAGCAAGAGTGACGATACAAGAGAAGGAGGAGGGGGAGAAGGAGAAAAGTGACGGGTGGACGGGCACTTTTAAACAGATGAGATAGACGGTGGGAGAAGTGGATGGATGGGTAGTACTAAGTTTATATATATATATATATATATATATATATATATATATATATATATATATTTGTGTGTGTGTGTGTGTGTGCGCGAGCGCACCATGTGTGATTTGCTGAAATTAGTTGCATATCTCTCAGGCGGTGATGGCTGGCGTACCAATATGTGGTACTCGGGATTTAAAACGAGTTTTGACAAGAAGGCACCTTTTTTTTTCGTTTTTCAATTTATTGATGTCGTGTGGTGCTGGTGAAAAGGAATTTAGAAATTATGAAATTTTTGTGTCAGACTTGATTGACAATACCGACACGAATAAACTCATTTGACAACATAAAATAACTTTATTAGACTAATAAGAAAAAAAAAAGTTAATTAATAGTCTCTGTTACAAAAGTGGTACTTAAACACTAATACCAACATTATTCAATTCTACTCACAGAAAATATCAAATTATTTCCTTTCTCATAGATTAAATGAGAATTAATAAAAAAAATATATATTTAGTTGATAAATGTATTTTTCTTTCTTTTTTTACATTTATAACGGAATATATGTCTTCCTTTTCTAACGCAATATTTTCTCTAAACTTAACATAGCACAAGAATCTTTTCCTGCTACATTTCATAATCTCTGGCTAGTTACCGAGATTTTAATAAAAATAAGGTTACAGGTTGAATAATAGAGACATTTTAGCCTGAAATCATTTGCCTTAATCGACACCGGAAGAAGGAGAAAAGAAAAGAAAAAAAAAAAAAAAAAAAAAAAACTTGTCTAAAAAGCGAATTTTATGTGTTAATTTGTAAGGTGAAAAGAATAGAAAAATTTAAGATATAAAAATCGTGTGTTTCAATGCAAAAGGTGGCGTTTACCAAAAACTGGTACAAAGGGATCTAAACGTTCTCATCCCTTTTTTTCTACCTTATCTTCTATGAAGCAGTTTTGTTTTTGACAATATGCAACAAGAAAAACAAATCCAGAGTTCGCTTCAATGTGGTTCGAGATTTGCTGCTTTCACCGGACAAAAAACATCAACCGGACAAAATTCCAGTCTACTAATTACTCAAGGAAGCTTTAATTAAATTTTTAATTTTAAATTGAGACGTTCTTCACATAAAGTCGGGTCTAATGAGAAACTAGGACCACCCCCCTAACTATGAAATGGATCGAATATGTGACCATAGCATTGACAGAAAACGGTTTTTTTTAGATGTTGGGTCGATTTACAATGAATTTCTATAGCAAAGAGAACGGACCCATATAAACATGAAGTACCCGACAGAAATAGATTTTTCTTGTAAATATAAGTGTGTAGAATGGATGTTCTTATTAATGTCTTAATCTGACATTGAAGTTTTACTTAAAAGTTACTTCAATTTTCAATTTATTTATAAAAATGGTATTTTGTTCACTTTTAGGATAAAAAGGTTGGGTTTTCGTTTGCAGTGATTTTATGTCCTGGATTCGTTAAAAATAAACCCACGTATTAAGAGTTGAGTTTTAATTCGACATTACTTCAAATATCAGTGGGAACTTCGTATTTGAAATAGACGCCACTGATTAATAAATAAAAAGAGTGCTCATTACAGAGTAGAGCAAATATAATTTATTCGAAAATTATAAC